AATTATTATTTAAGTAGGTGTGATTTGTATTAAAGCTGTAGATATGTTTGTCATTTTTAATTTTATTGATGAGATACATATTATAATATATATTGTTGATATGTTATTAATCATTGTATTTTTACAAAATATATATTGTAATGCAAAAAATCAATCCAAATAAATTATTTGTCAAGTTAGACAGTTTATATTATTATTAATTGATTTTAAAAACTATAAAAAATAGTCATTTCAATTTTTTGGCGCGCTATTCGAATGCCGAGCGATACGCGATAAAGCGCCATTTCGAACTGTTGTACGCTACGAAACTACAACTCTCTGAACCAAAATACCGGGAGAGAGAACGTCTATATTATTATATTGTCTAGGTTCACGTGTTCGAAAGAAAAGATGGAGTCGCGTTGACAGTTGAAAGTTACAAAATGGTGGGAGGCGGGAAATTGAAAAAAAAAAATTATTCATTCTACTAATTTGTTAAATTGACAATTGTTAATACTCGGTTATTTATAATATAAATAAAGTTGTTTTGGTATTTAATTATTATAACTTTTTTTATTTGATACTTAAAAATTTAAGCGGTAAATTTAAATTTGTAATTTAATTTTACTAAAACTTGTATAAACGAAAGTTATGTTGATAGTCGCATGATTTATGCATTAGCTTGTTTTGTACATTATAAATTGAAGATTATACTAGTGGTGCTGGCATCGTGCCTTACGCAAATTGCTGGAACTTCCCGTACCTCGAGAAAAATTTAAACCTTTCAATTTATATTATTACAAATAGTGTAACTTTCATTATTTTGCTATATGGTTATATCTGTGAGCAAATCAAATGTAAATTATAAATCATAAATCAATTTATCTCCAGAACATTAACAATCGTCATTTCATTTCGAATTCAATTTCAAAAAAAAAATAGTTGCCTATTTTCGACACAAATTGAAAAAGTGCTCTCGTATAGTCACAGTCTAAACGCATTTGCAAATAATTCTGTGCGACATTTTCACTTGAACTGTGCTTAGCTTGGCGGCATTTTCACATTTTTCAATAGTTTTTTTACCCCAAATTGGAAAAGTGCTCCAACATAAACAATCTAAACGCACTTGGGTAAAACATTTGTACAGAGTGGCGCTTAGACTGTGCTTAGTCTGGGATTTTTTTTTAATTTTTAATCCAAAATTACAAAAATATTTTATAGAAAAAAAAAAAAGATGTAATAATTTTCCATTATCCTCAAAAGCAATTGTTTTGTCAATACAAGCAGAAAGTTTTTTAGATCATTCAAATCGGACGCTTAGTTCACTCAAAAACTGTCATTTTTTGCACATTTAGCTCTGTATCTTCGAAATGGCGGGACCTGTCTTTGCCAAAAACTAATCACCTCTTCTCCCGAACATTACAAATTGAATGTTTATTAGATCATTCAAATCCGATACTCCGTTCTCTCAAAAACTTGATTTGTATTTTCTGCACTCTTTGCTCCGTATCTCCGTAACGGCTGGACCTGCTTTGCCAAAAACTAATCAGCACATCTCCCTATCAATAGGAATCGAATGTTTTTAAACCATTCAAATCGGTTGATCCGTGCGCCCGAAAACGTGACTGGAAATTTGTATCTCTACATACATACACACACTCATCCATTTTTTCTGAGGTAGGTATGCCAAAATGTTCAGAAACCTTCAAAACGTCGAGAAATGCAAAGTAATAATTCAATTCTTACTAATTTGCAATTGATTGACATTAGTAAAATGTTGTTTATAATATAGGTATCAATATTAATTATCAATAAAACATTCCATATCTTTTTTTTTCTAAAAATGTATTCAATATATATTTCATATTTTTATAAAAATTAGTACAATACGTTCAACTTATCCACAGATCTGTTACTCATTAAATCGTAAACAATTTTGTTCCTAAAAAATAATAATAATAATATATTTATTTATTTATAATATATATATGTATAGTACGAACAATATTTTTAATATTAAT